AACAAATTAAATTCTAACACAATGGTATCTATAGTTAGAATTAAGACTTATGGTTTTAAAAAAATTTGCCGACTCTAAGACGCTATAGATTTCTGCTATAGGAGATCATCTAATCCTCGGAGTCCGTCGGGCAGCCGAACTGGACCCCTCGGATGATCACGGGTAAATAGACGTCGCGTCAATCGTGTCGCGCGGGTGCTGGTGCCTGTCTGTACACGTCGGGCACTGCGCGTCGGTCGCGTCGGGTGCTGTGGGATTCTCGTGTGTCTGCGCGTCCACGTCTGAGGATCTCGCAGGTAGCGTGGTCGAGCTGGCGTTGCCGAGCACGGGTTGCACCAGTCGCTGGCCTGGGAGATAGGCATCGCCGGGAACCTGCTGCGGCTAGCCGTGGGTTGCTGGTCGTGGCTTTTCCCAATGATTGGTGGTCTCCGGAAATATTTTCCTTGATAATTAATTCGTCGGGATGTGGAAAATTATACCTTATGATCTTATGATGTATTACCTCTACACATACTTCGGGTAGTCTTGGTGGTGCGACTAAACGAAGCTCCCGAAACCTCCTAGTATATTTTACTCGATTTTTTTTTCTCTCTTTTGAAGAATTAAAAAATTGGATGCTATGTGTTGTTGGAGGTGTTTGGACTTGGTGTATTTATAGGCTACAACAGGAACCCTAAGGAGGTGCTAAATATGAGTTATTCCAAATAGAAATAGAAAACCTTATGTCTTCCAACTCATTAACTTTCTATAAGTCCTTATGTCTTTCAACATGTTAACATTCTAGAAGACCCCAAATCTTCCCACTAGTTAACCTTCTAAAAGACCTCAAGTCCTTCAACCAATTAATATTCTAGAAGACCTTTTGTTTTTATTTCTTATTTGGATAAAACATTCCACTAGAGTAATATTAGTGCACTCCCCATTTAGTTCCAAATTAATAATAACCCGTTCCCTTTAGATTGATCGAATTACATCCCTATGTTTAAGATATAATGTCCATTAATTAATTAAATTTCTGACAATTTAATTAATCAATTTCTGTTTATCCAAATTTTTACCACTTAGTTTTTAATTATTATGTTGGAAATTAATCTGCCTGCATGAATTAACATAATAAACCTTCCTGAACTCATTTCGGGGACTTTATCAACTTTACGGATCGAGACATAGTGACCGTAAATAATTTTAACGACACATCATGTAAACAACAATACTTAACAATATACCGAGTATGTCATCCTAATTAAAATATGAATCATCTTTTGGTAAATTAAACAAGTAAGTGTTGAATATATATGCCCGTTTATTGTCTTACGGGTTAAGAAAATACATCAATTACTGAGGTCTAGATTATTTACTTGGTCAATATAAGATAATCTTATCCTCCGTAAGTCCATTCAATAAACCTAAAGTGTACTAGCGTAATTAATCATCCATATATCAACTGAATCAAAATTACACTACTGCCTTTCACAACATATAGTTCAACTACGTCTAGGCTAGGAATCATTTTATTTATATTACAAGGAACTGATAATATGATCTTTCTATTCAACACATCGAATCATATGATCCACAATGTAAAATAAAGGAACTAATGGTTGCATAAATAAATAAACTGCAAACAAAAATACTTGACTAAAACATAATTCTCATTCAAAATGGTATTGACAGAAACTGAATGCCGAGCTTTTACAGTATACCCTAACAATCTCCAACTTATATCTTCTTTCAATCTAATTATCATAGACTAATCTAACTAGTTGCCACACGCCTGACTCCCATTCCTTCTCTATGTCGATAGAAGACCTTCGTCGGTAGGTTCTGTGTAAAAGGATCTGCTAGGTTGTCTTCTGACGCTATCTTGGCAACAACGACTAACCCTCGGCCAATGATATGTTGTATTAGGTGGTACTTGCACTCGATGAGTTTACTCGCCTTATGTGTCCGCGGTTCTGTCGAGTTTGCTACTTCTCTGATGTTGTCACAGAAGACTATAATCGCTGCGAACAAACTCGGTACAACGTTATGGTTTAGGAGGAAGTTCTTGAGCCACCGCTTCGTTCGCTGCCTCTGAGGTCGTGATGTACTCGGCTTTCATGGTGGATTCTGCCATGCATTTCTGCTTGACACTCCCCAAATTATGGCTCCACCTCCCAAAGTAAACAGAAACCCTAAGGTGGCTTTCATCCTGGTCTGACTGGAAATCAGAATTAGTGTAACCCAACTAGAGCAACTCGTCTGCTGGGTAAACTAACATGTACTCATTAGTCCTTCTCAGGTACTTGAGTATATACTTACCACAGCCCAATGTCCCGGTCCTGGATTACTTCGATATCTGGCTACCATGCCCACGTCATAACAGATATATGGCTGCATACACAACATCACATACATAAGGCTCCTACTGCCGATGCATAAGGAACCTCCTTTATGTCCTCTATCTCCTGAGGAGTCTTGGTAGACATCCCTTTAGAGAGAGGGATTCCATGCCCAAAGTGCAATTTTCCTCTCTTGGAATCTTGCATGTTGAAACACGCCAAGACAGTATCTATGTACGAGGATTGAGATAAGCACAACATTCTCTTTTCACGATCTTGAATGACCTTGATCCCAAGAATGTGTGCTACTTCTCCCAAATCGTTCTTATCAAACTACTTAGACAAGCATACCTTCACGTCTGAGAACTTCTTCACACTGTTTTCAATTAGAAGAATGTCATATGTGTACAACAGGAGAAACACCACCACGTTTCTGTCACTTTTCCTGTACACACAGTGCTCATCCAAACATTAGGTAAATCCAAAAGATTGGACAACCTCGTCAAAATAGATTTTCCAAGACCGCAAAGTTTACTTCAGTCTATAAATAGATCGATTAAGCCTTTTGCAATGAAACCCTCTGGTTGTTGCATATAAATGTCCTCATCCAGATTCGTGTTAAGGAAAACTGTCTTGACATCCATTTACCAAATCTCATAATCCATATGAGCGGCTATAGCTAAGAGAATCCTCATGGACTTGAGCATAGCTACAGGAAAAAAGGTTTCTCATACTCGATACCCTTTTTTTAGTATACCACTTCGCTACAAGCCTAGCCTTTAAGGTTTCAACCTTTTCATCTGATTCTCTCTTTCTCTTATAGACCCACTTGCATCCTGTAGTGCGAATGCCACTGAGTGGCCTTAAAGATCCCAGACCTGATTGGAGTTCATTGAGTCCATCTCAGTCTCCATTGCACTTTGCCAAGACTCTGCATCCCGATCTTGGAGTGCCTCATCATAGGTCCATGGGTCTATATCAAGTCCATCAGGGATTTTTTCATAAGAATATCCCAGAAACATGAATCGTTCGGGCTGCCTGACAAATCCTCCCACTACGATGAGGTACTACCGCCACATGTGCATCGTATGTGACACATGTTGCAGTATCATGTGGTGTAACATTAGGTGCACATGGTATTGAAGTATCAACCGGCACAGGTGCATCGTCGGTGACACATGTTGCAGTATCATGTGGTGTAACATTAGGTGCACATGGTATTGAAGTATCAACCCCCTTTATCTCCTTTAGGATATGTCTACTACTTGGCTTACAGTCCATAATTAGTCTTCTTTAAGAACCGAACATTCGTACTAAATCACCCTTTGGTCCTCGAGACTATAAAATAGTCCACCCTTCGTTTCTTCTGGGATATCCCACAAACAGTCTTACTCCCGTTCGCAGTCTTAACTTATCGGTATCTGCCCTTTCCATATGTTCTAGGCTACCCCATATTCATCGACTGGGCTACGCCCGGACCATAATTCTGTGGGCGTAGTTAAAATCTATTTAGAAGGTACCAAGTTCAGAATGTAAGTTGTTTCCAGGGCATGACTCGAGAATGAATCTGGTAGGGTACTGTAACTCATCATTGCCCTAATTTCCATAAGAGTCTTATTCCTTTGTTCTGCCACGCCATTCTGTTAGGGCATACCTAGGCAGTTAACTGAGATAGAATCCTATTCTCCAATAAGTAATTCTTAAATTCCCCCGAGAGATATTCGCCACCATGATCTGATCATAATGACTTGATACTTTTACCTAATTTCTTCTCTGCAACTGCCTTATACTCTAAGAACTTCTCGAAGCATTTAAACTTACGTCACAATAGGTAAACGTACCCATATCTCGAGTAATTATCGATAAATGTAACGAAGTACTCGAATCCTCTTCTCGCTTGGAGTGACATGGGACCACATACATCAGAGTGAATGAGTTCTAACAAGTCTTTAGCTATATGCCTCTTTGCCTTAAAATACCTCCTAGTCATTTTCCTTTCTAGGAAAAACTCACAGGTTGGAAAGGCCTCGACTTCTAACGACGCCAAGGGTCCGTTTACCACTAATCTTTGTATCCATCTTAGGTCAATATGACCAAGTATTAGATGCGAAAGATATGTTTCATTCAAAGATTCATTTCTATTATTCTAATTAGATGATGAATTAAGTAATTGTTTGTGTTGCCGTGGGAGAGACTTTGGTTCTAGTACATACAGATTGCCTACTAATGATCCATTACAAATAAAATATTTGCCAAGACGAATAACAACTTTATTATTAAAAGTAGCAGAAAATCCATTTTTGAGCAACTTAGAAACTGAAATTAAAGTTTTTCTAAAACTAAGAACACAAAGACAATCCTTCAAAACCCTATCTAGTCCAAAGAAAAGATAGATGTCCCCACTGCAACAGCTTTTAATTCTTTAGTCGAGCTCAAGAGGAGAGCCGGGCCGTGCGCCCGCGAACCCGAACGGCCGTGCACCCGCGAACCCGAACGGCCGTGCGTCCAGAACCCACGCCCGGCCCTCTCTTTTTCTTTCTTGATTAGCAAGATTTCTTGTCTTAGGTTATGCTTATATGTATATGAGATATTTTTTCCCCTTCCCTTAGTATCTTTACGCCGCAAAACTCATCTCTCCCAACTCTCAAATCTCTCTCTCGTCGCTCATCGTCATCATCATTAAAAAAAGAAAGGGACGAAGAATCCCTCAGCCGCGCTCTCTTTTCTCCTCCTCAAAGGAAATCCGATCATCACCTTCCAGTGTTTCCCGCCCCGCGTGATCACCACCTTCTCGGCGCTCCTCGATTGCCGGCAGACCCGCTCCGCCTCATCGCTGCTCCTCCGCGTGAAGATCCGGCGACCACCCCTGTTCACGCGCAATGATACCCCGGCGGCCAGCCACCCTTCGTGATCAACTCCCGGCAAGTTGTCCTTCACGTGGAATTTCGACCAACCTCTGATCCCTCACGCGCAGCCAACCGAGTGACAAGGAGCCCACATCGCGAGATGAGCGTCCACCATCGAGCCCGAGTACCCCCGCGCACGACCGTTCCCGTCAGGCCCTCCCCGTTTCAGCCGTCCCTCAACCTTCTCGTGTATTTTTCGTGAGAATGGTACACGATGGCTCAAAACCCTTCGTCTTTATGATATCTATTGTGTGATGTTATGGGCTCATGCTTAATTTCTTATTAGGGCTTAATATATATGATTAATACGTGAAGTTCTATGTGGTTTAATGTTGAAGTCTTATTCAAGCATGTTAAATGTGAAACTCTCATATGTTTATGTTTGTAATAATGAGGTTACAAGGTGCTTAAGATGCTATTTTCGTGTTATAGTATGAATTGAATAACATATGTTTCGACCAAATGTTATTTTTGCATTCGTCGCTTCGGTTTGTTGTCAAAACTGAAGGACATGGGTTATTTTCGTGAAAACCCTAGAGTTCTGTATACTTTGGAATGTCCTTATCATGTTAGTGAATTTTGGGTCATTTGGAGGTCTATGCATTGAGTTATGAATTTTTAAAATCGAGCCTGCTGCTGAACTTTCGAAAAATCTTTATAAATCTAGTTCTTGTCATATTGCTGTGAATTTTTTATATGTTCAAACTATGTTGATGATGTTGGTTGTGTAAAACTTTCAAGTTTAAACTCAACCTGTAGCTATGTGATTTATTGAATTTAACTTCTGGTCAGAATCTTGTTAAATTCGTATAAATTCGAATCTTGCTTCAAATGAGTTGATTTTTGGATATGTTGTTTTTATCCTTGATGTGTTGCTTGTGTTAAAATTTCATGTAAAACTTGAAGGTTTACCTGGGGAGCTTGAATTTTCACTCTTTGGCTGAAATTTTACAAAAATTATCTTTCCAGGTTAAAATGATTTCTTAAGGCTTATTTTTGGTTTACATATGCATTTTTGGGTATATTAGATGTGGTAAAAGTTTCATTGAGTTTGGTCAAGTGGATTTTGAAAAGGTTCAGATGTTACCTCAAATCGATTTGTTGTCCAGTGTCGGTCCGCGCCCAGCCCGTGCCAGCGCCCTTGGCAGCCCGGCAGCACCCCGGTTGGGCTATTTCCCAACCCGTTTGATTTACCTTTTGACTCGTTAGCTTATTTTACATGTCGAGCATGCTATATGTGTTATATATGACTTATAAATTGGTTTTATCGAGTCTAGATGGTTATAGGAATTTCCACAAATCACTTAGTCGATAATGTTTCGACTAAGTGAATGTTGTTGAGCGTGTTTCCATGTGTCGGATAGTTATTGATAGGACTATCATAAATATTGTAGGTGTTTGACGAGTCGAGCTCTCTACCTACACGTGATTATCGTGCAATCTTTTGCTTCAAACCAGGTGGGTTTATTTAAAATTCCTATGCCTGAAATTCTTTATAAATGTGGATGGTATGATCATTGTATGCGTGTGAACCATGTAACCTTCAATGTGTGCAGTTTTGACCTTCAAACGGTTATCCCCGTCGTCGTATGCGATTTCGACCTTCGACGGTGCCTAATGATAGACAGTCTCCTTAGCCTAATGATAGGCAAGGCCGATGTGAGATTTATGTCCTTCGGTATTTTACTCCCATTGTTGTGTGCGGTTTCGACCTTCAATGGCTTTTATAGATGTGCACATGAGTAGAAATGTGTATGATTAAAAGATGAGATGATTGAATGATTCGTGTTCATGCTGCGACCATACTTATTTGTCTTTATATATGATTTATGGCATAGTGGTGAGCACCACGGTTTTCAATTGTGCTCATCCCCACTTTTCTTTCCTAGGTTGAGCAGTGGCGAACATGACAACAAGATGATGAGTGGCTGGTCTTAATTATGTTTAAATTTGTTTCCGCTTTATTATGAATAAGTTGACCTGGATTTATGAACTTGGTTGTTTTGGGTTATGAATATGTTGACTGCTTTCAAACTTAGGTTTTGAAATGTTGGGGTTTATGGATTGTTTTTAAAACCCTATGACTTGATACGTTTCGATTTGAAACATGATGGTTTAGATATTCCTGATGTATGTGCTTTTGAATATCATGTGAGTTGTTATGTTTGGGTTAATGAAAACCATGTGAAAATCCGAGTAATGAATCCCCGTGAGGTTTCAAAATGATTTGAAACACGATAATGCCCATGTTAAAATTTATTTCATAAAATAAATTTCGAAAATGTTATCCTGATTTTTGAATAAACCATGGATTATTTCTTAAATCAAAGTGGAGCGTTACAATGAGTCTTCTTGGGCCGGAATGATTTGGTTGTCTATTATTCTTGGTATTAGAATTTTTTGGTAGTTCAATTAGTATCTATTATTATTTCAAGAATTTAATATTTGTTATTAATGCTTAGTCATGGTGAGCATGTTATTATTAGAGTTTAGAAGTCTTATATAAAGGATTCTCCCTCTTTTATTCTTTTCAATTGATTTTGTATTTGATTATCGTATTTGAGATAAAAATCTCTTATCTTTATTTTCAATCGTACGCTGAGCTATATCACACACTTTAACTCGTTGCCCCATAAAATAATTTGCTTGCCTGAAGGGCTGATTACATAAGATAGTTCCATTATTATCTTCACATAACACAATTTCCATTGTAACACATAACATAGCTCAATCATAATACTCACATAACATAATTCAAAATTTATACTCACATATCGCAAATATAGTACCTTGCGATTAAAAGGAATAAACGTGTATAAAACTCCACCTTAAATGCAGACGTGAACTAGTGAATGCTGAATGATCTTCTGGAGGGCTCGACTCCTCGTAATCTACATTTTAAGAATTTATCTAACATAATTATCACGTTTTCTTAATAACTCAATTTAATAAATTCCTAATTAAATTAATTTTTGGACTCTCGGCAAAAGGCTCGAAAAATGGCTATCGGCTACAAGAACACAAGGGTCTGCTCAAATTGTTCGAAAAATGTCTCGGGATGAAAATATTTAAATTTCGACTCACGGTCGGTTCAAAAGTGTGCCACCGGGCATGACTTGACAGCTGCGGTCGCACTTGAGCCGGTTGGTAGCTCACTAGGTTGCTGGAAAGACGCTGGCTTGCTGGCAGGTGTGCTATGGCAATTAGTACGCACTGCTGGAGGGAGACGGGCCGCGGACATGGTCCTGCGAGCGAGTTGGGCTGGACAATCATGCGGGCTGGAGATGGCTGGATGAAGGCTTCAGTTGTGAAAAGCGTTGGCCAACTCGACCCAACGCGTGCCGGACGCAGGCTGCAAAAAGGGCTGCGGAATCTAGACCTTACGCAATTGGGCTCCCTCATTGGGCTACGAATGCAGATAAAGGCCTGCAACCTGGGCTGCCTTGCACGCTAGAAAAGGCCGCGATCTAGGCGCTGAGCAGGGGCTGGGACAACAATGCCGGCGACCGACTTCTACGGCGTTCGTCTCCTCGGCAATCGCAGTTTCAAGGTTCTACAAAAATTTTTAAAAAATATATAATTTTCAAAGCTTCAATAATTTACAAAAATTGGGGTTTGGCTTGGAAAACGAAACGACAACTCTGGGCATGACTAACATTGGATTTCTGTAACAAATATATAAGTTCAGCCCCAAAATTCAAACAACGAACTCAGCATAGAAAAAGCTCGAATTTTCACTTTGGCTTGAAACAGAAATTAAAGGCTCGACTAACGATGAACAATGAACAACATAGCATGAATTATACTCGATTTTTCTAAGCTTATGACTTGAATTCGACTAACATGAAAACATGAACTTACAATCAAATTTTCTTAAAGTTTCGCGGGTTTATCGTTCGTCGGTCGAAGGAGAAGAATTGGGTTAGAAAACATTAATCTTTTGTCGTCGAGATTTGTCTCGTCTTAGCCGCACGAAGCTCATCTCAGTCCGCAAGAATCCTCGTCTCTGCCGTGGAAGAGTGCCGCTCCTGTTGCTGGAAGAAGTCTCCCCGTCGCCGGATGAGGGCTGATTCCTTTCGCTGGATAAAGCTCGGTCGAACCGCTGTGATCGCCGAAAAAAAAAATGAAAGAGAACGAAGAGGGGAGAAGGGAGAGAGGCGGCTAAAGAGAAGAGAATGAGGGTTGTAGGGTTTGGTCGAATGGCTTAAGACCATCTCCAACCGAAAACCTCGTACTCAAACTCATTTTGCAGTAATTGTCATATTTTGCAGTAATTCATCTCTAATCAAAAAACCCATTTTCATACCCCAAAGAATATTCTAAAAATATTCTCTTTCACATCAACTTTTATAATTTTTCAATACTACCCACATATTTTACAACTTCACAAATTAAACCACACTATTATTTTAAATTCAACTTGGACTTTATGTAATAAAATTAATTATAAAATTATAATCATATACATAATACAACCGGAGAAATTAATATTCATTACAATTTTAAATTGAAAAATTACATCACACAAGATAAAATTAAAAATTAGAAAGGTGAAAAATTAAATATTACATCACACAAGATAAAACTAAAAATTATAATGCACAAATAATATTTTTATTTTATATTATTATTGTGAAATATACAAAATTAAATGATAAATATAATAGTATTATTTTAAATTTTTAATTATATTTTAAAAAAGGTTATATTATTTGAATTTATTATCAATACTTTCTTAATCTCTTCACAAATTTATTCAAACTTCTTTAGAAATCTCCTAGAAATATTTTACAAATACTTTTATAATTTTTTATTCAAATGAATATACTAGAAATATTTTACAAATACTTTCATAATGTTTTGATTAAACCTATTATTGAATGTTCACAAACTATAAATAAATGTCTAATTCTATTTATTTATATTTCATATTTTTTCACTATTATTTTAATTGTGCCAATTAATATGAAAACATACAAATATAAATTAGAGAAATAAATATATTTCGTAAACTAGTTTTTTATTATACATTTACATAAAAAATAACAATTTACATACCCAACATATAAAATATGTTTTGTTCATTCAAATAAAAAATAACAACATTATAGTTACAAAACTAAATATATATATATATATATAAATATATATATATATATATATATATATTTCTTTCACTAATTTTTACACAAGTCATATAACTTGTGGCAAAATACAATTCAAATCATTTTTTTGGGGCCAAAAGTCAATTTACAAAAAATTTAGAGACGCATATTTGCGTCTAGAAGGAGAGAGAAAGGGCTCAAAACGCATTTTGCGTTTTTGTTTGCGCACCGGTTGGAGCATTTTCTGCAGTTGGGTTTACGTTTGCAGCTCGGTTGGAGTTGCTCTAAGAAGTAAAAAGTTGGAACCTTATCCTTTTTGTTGCGATGGTGAAAGGCCGAAGAATCGTGGGGTTTGTTAGTGCTTGACCGCTTCTCAAATCCGTCATGTAAGTTTACTTTTTCTTTTTCTTAATTCTTAATTTTTGTTTGAATTTCAATATTTATATATATCATATATTATGTTATATTTAATGATTTAATTATATTAAGGTTAATTAATAATGATAATATTAATAATACTAATGATAACTTTAATAATTTAATTCATGAATTTACTTAAATAATAATTTTAATCGAGCTTAATTAAATAAAGTCGAGTTGTGCTTTTATTACATGAACGGGGCGCTACACTCGAGCCCGGCTCATGAGGGCTCGAAGAAGTCCCGGGGTCGAGAAGATCGACGTCGATTTGCCCGATTCACTTGACAGCAACCCTAACGAGGTCACTAATTATAACTACCTTATGTAGGTACTCCCAGCTGAAGAGGCTAAGATGCGAGGATAGAACCACCAAGGTTGTTCTACCCACGCGACCGTGGCTCTCGCGCAGGTAAATTCTTCTTACTGTACGCTAGTAAGTTGGTTGGTAAATTTTCTTCTCTAAACTTCATTCACCTTGTAGTTGTTTTCTTCTCTTGTCCCTATACTCGATGAGGAATACCGTGCAACCTCGACATCCTAAGAGAACCTCGGAGAAGACCTGAAGGACATGAAGAAGGATAACAGTAAACTTACTCTCAACAACGACAAGCTAAAGAAGGAGATTGGGAAGATAAATCGAGAGAATGAGGACACCATAACTAAGCTCAAGGAGTAGAAGGAATAAGATATGCAGACTGCCAGCAAGGTTGGTTGAGCTTTTTGTCAACAAAACTTTTTGGTTTTGCAGGCGAGATTAGCCTTCACCAAGGTATATCGTGAGTAGGTTGTGGAGGACTACATCAAGTCTCCTAAATTCCATAACAATATAGCCATGGTGGCTAAAGAGCATTTCGAAGTCGCCCTCGATCAGGCCGAGGCACAGCTACAAGCCCAAGTATTAAATGGGTCGCTAGATTGCGATGCTACTCTGGAAGAGCTCGCCGAGTATCTTTCTTTCCTCGAAGACGAGCATGGGCTCCCCAGTGACCATTGCTGGTGGGCTGGAACTTTAGAGAACTGTCTTCCTCGTCACGACATGATGAAGAAGCTAACTCTTCTGATCACCCACCTTGTGGTCGAGCCCATCTTACGAGTACCTGCGTACGAACCTGCGGTCAACACTGTCGAGACAGCTGCGGTGACCTTTGGGCTAGACGCCGACCCGAATGTGCCAGAACCTCCCCACTCTGAGGTCATCGAGTTGACCCCCGACCAAGCCTCAAATTAAGGAACTATGCTTTTCCATCATTCTCCCATCGTAATTTTGAACTTCTTCTTCCTACGAATATTTTTGCAACAGTTTTAGAATATGTATTTTGACTATTATGGTGTGTAATTGTTATGGTTTTGAATAAAATGTTTGTTATCCCTTACCTTTACATTCTTCTCGTATATTTTCATTTTCCATACTTAGAAAAGTTTTAGCATTTTGCAGTCAGAATCATCGCGATCGACCTTGCACTGAGGTTTCTAAACAATGACTTAACCCTTAAAGTTAAATTGGCCTGCCTCCGAGGTCTCCACATTGATTCACCATAGCAAGATTGTAAGTAAAAATTACTTGACTTATTCAACCTACCATCGAGGTCTCAAAAAATGAACGCTAAGACTTAAGAAAATATCGCGATTTTGATAGAAATCACGCTAGCTAATCGACCTGCCACTGAGGTCACCAAAAGGGACCCATTTTTGGGTATTATTTAATTGTTTGCTATGAGTGTTCGACCCTCTGTTGCGGTCGTCATCATGTGTAATTTGGATCGGGATTATTGCATCAACTCTAATTGTAAAGTATTGTTAGAGTCATGCCTCTTCCTACCTCTGGGATTGACCAGCCATCCCAGGGCCTTAGTCATGCTAGATGTTTGGACACCTGAACTTAGCAACACTTGACCGATCTTCCACCGAGGTCATTCGAACTAGCGACCAGCCAGCCCACAGGCCTTAAGCATGTTGGGTTTTTGTCTTCTATACCACAGTGGTCTGCGGGGTTTCAGTGTAGTGAGACATCGGTTAATTTAACAAATATTGTTGTGAAAGGATCAATATTTGAGAATTAAATTCTAAGACTTGACTAATTAACAAATTATTTTTCAAAATCTAGAATAATCAAAACGTCTTTCTATATGTTGTCCGTTATTCTCAAAGATGTGAAAAGCTTTAAAATATTTCCGTCCTCGGAATTGCTAAACTAAAGTACAAATCCTAACTCGAAATATGAGTCAAAACTAAAGTATCTAGATCGGAACTCTTCTTCTCTTTCCCGAATGGCCTCGGCCTTGGAAAGAACTACCTCTCAATTCTTTAACTGATTAATTTCAGGCGTTCCGGCGACAAAGCCAAAACGATAAACTAGTCTACTGACTTCACTAGAGTCGAAAAGGATGGAGAACTAAGTCGTAGTTACTGTGCTAGTGTGATATACTTTGTCGGTCGATTGCGGTTGTCCGACTCCGATCATACCACAGTTTCATCACTTGAGAGTAACTATATCTTACCGTAAATCATGCAAACTGTCAATAGTAATATCGGTGAACATCACAATAATTCATAGTGATATCATTATTACCAACATCTCACATCGTCTTTCGACTGCCATTAATGCACTTTAATTAGGGATTCTGACACTTGATATTTATTTAATACCCGACCTTATCGCATGCATGTCAGACACCAAACTTGAGACGTATTTCATACGCATCATTTTCTATAAACAGACTGCAAATTCAACAATCTTCCTCAGCACAGGTCCGAAATTACAAATGGATTTAGCACTGATCAGAATCCGCAAATTTAATTCATTCCTTCCAATTAATATAATAAAAAGAATTTATCGAGCTCGAGTAGAAGGATTGAGAATGCTAATGCTCAATAATATCCCAAATGATATCCGATGGCTGATTGAAGTAAAAGTTCGATTATCTGACGAGTTTCCAAATGCATACAGATATATGACAGGTATGGGTAGAAGTACTTTTTCTAAGAAACAAATGGCTAAAAGAGTAGGCGGCTGTTATAAATGTGTTCGTTAGAATTGTAACACACGATGTACGTCTTTAGGATTTGTGTCCAATAATCGAGAAGATAAAATAGCTTTCATAAAGGATGGTTTGAGTAACGAATCTCTGGATCAAACAATTCAGCAGATTCTTGAGACACATCCAAGTGGTTATGTGCATCGAGAGTTGATGTCTTTATGGACTCAATTCAAAAATGAAGAAGAACGCTATAGCCTTGAAAATATAGTATCAAGAGATCAGGTCTGTAAACACTGTTTTTGTTAGTTCAATTTAATAAGATGTATTGTACAGAAAGCCTTATCGCTGCTGACAAATAAGATTCATTTAATATTCAACGGCTTACTTGTCGGCAACTTTTCCTTTTAATATTAATATTCATTTAATATTGTGGAGGTTGATTACCCAACCTATTCTTTTAGTTAGTAGAGTGGTGAGAGGTAAGTATTATTGGAAAGAAAACTCATGGATGTTAAAGCTAAGAACTTTGATTCTTGGCTTTGCAGGAGTTGGATGGAAGCCAGAAAGTCTTTGAAACTCGGGGTTAGGTATAGGGTGGGAGATGGCAAGTCAATTCACATCTTGAAGTCTCCTTGGCTTCCTTCTAATTCTTCTTTTACCTCTGAATGCCAATTTCCTAGTGATATGGATAGATTGCTCAGAGTGAAAAAGCTTATTTCTAAAGAAAAAGAGAGTGGGATGTTGAGTTAATTGGTCAAACTTTCAAACCTTCTGATCCAGAGACTATTATTAAAATTCCTATAAGGCACAGTGGATAGAGAGACAAACTTGTATGACATAGGCACAACAAAGGAGAACTCACATTGAAGACTGTCTATGATTTTCTGATAAAGTGGAATGCAAAGGGAGAAGCTGGATCCAGCACTACTGATTCATCCAATAAGAGGATGTGGAGGACAACACGGGGACTACCTATTAAAGGTAAGATTAAAAACTTCTTATGGAAATGTTGGTTTGGGTTTTTAAGTACTGGGATTCAGTTGCAAAAGAAAAAGATAAATTGTGACTTGTGGTGCCCAATTTGTGGAGAGGAGAATGAAGATTTAGAACACATTTTGTTCAACTACTATAGAGCTAAAATATGTTGGAAGTTGGTGGGAATCAGCTGGAATAATTTGAAAATACAGAAAGCCTCCTTCAGAGATTGGTGGTTTGAAGTGTGCTCTAAAGGAACTAATGAATGTCTTAGGGATAGGATTAGTCTTTCTAGTCATCTTTTATGGTGGCTATGGAAGACTAGAAATGGTTGGGTATTTGAAAGCTATAGACTGCGGAGAAACTAATAGTTAAAGGAGCTATGGAGGAATAGGCTGAGTTTTCAGCAGTCTTGAAGAAGAAGATGAGCTTAAGAAGGGAGAAGGGGAGGACACAGGCTCCTAGAGTGGAAGATCTACAAGGGCAGCTTCTGGTAGCTGTCAGTGCCCTATCTACCACTACAGGCTGGCTGGGGTTAGGAGGCGGTGTCTTCAGAAATGGTACCTTAGCACAAAATTGGTCAGAAGCTTGAACTTTTGAAGATGTGAAAGAGGAGGGGATCCTCCTTGGTGTCAAATGGATTTGAAGAAAGTTGTGCAACTGAAGGTTAACTCCATTTGTTGATGTGTGGAGGATAAAGTCCTGGCATCCAAACTCAATGATCAACAGCCCTTCAACTGTGCCTATGGAATTATAGCTGACATCTTTAATTTGGCCTCTTCTTTGGTTGTTTGTAATTTTGTTTGTTTTCCTTCTTTGTGTTGTGATTGTAATTTGTTAGCCCGGAATGCTAAAGCCTAGCCCGTTAGGTTCAATTACAACATTACTTCTACCTAATTGAATGGATGAATTAAAAATTATAGGCTTCTTTCAATTACCACCTAGAACCAACATACACACAGAGTACGTGCAAGCTTTCACCAAATCTCTATTAATTCTGCACAAATTGTTGTACGCATCAACTGAAGGGTTCTCCACCTCCAAGTATCATCTCAAACATTCTTGGGGCATGACTTTCTCATTGAAACACAGTCATGCCTGCACTCTCATTTTCAAGAAATGTAAT